TTGCACACAATCAGTTTGAGCAATTTAAAATATTTATAGAAATTCATTGAGCTCTAAATGAACAGTCATCAGTCTTTAGCAGAGGCTTAAAAGACGTAAATATACTGAGAACTTCACTTCCCGTGGGGCACAGCATCCCGACCCCCCGAACCCACCCGACAGCAACAAAAAAGGCTCTCTTCCACATACAGTAGCATCTCTGGATTATTTTGCAACCTCCCACCCCCCCTTCCCCGAATAAAGGAACACAACACCGCAAACATCACATACAGCTGTGTGTACCAGCAGTTTACCACCTGCGACTGAGAAACAGAAAGCGCCACGGTTCACAAGTCTGGTTGTAGTTTTGGACAGACGGCTCAGCACGGTTCACAGACGACAGATTTACACTCGATATAATCCGGCCGAACGCACGTCCAAAGGCCCGGAGGAGCCTCCCACACAAAGCAGGCTTTTTTTGATGCATTTCATTCATCTGCTGACGCATTTGGAGGACGAGGAAGAAGGTGAGCAAAATTTCCTGATTCTCTGTCTGACATTCAAAATCAAAAAAAGACGAAATAAATAAATGCGTGGCGTTCCAGTGAAGAACAATCATCTACTGGATTTAACGGATGCCTGCTGTTGGACGCTGCACAGATGAACTTGGAGGTTAAGAGGGTGAATTGTGGAGGGATGTGACAACAGATTGCTCACTCAGGACAGTTTCCACTCGGACATCCTACAATTGCTGATGCACAGCGACCGAGCTTTGCTCAGCAGGTGAGAGCGAGCCACAATTACACTCACGGATGGGAATTCCCACGTGCGGGCGGGCATGTATAAAGGAGCACTGAAACAAAAAGGAAAACCGTTCTCTGGGTGCAGCTCTGACGAAGGAGTAGAAGCATGATGACTGTTTTATCTGGAAGCATCTTACCAAAGAGGAAGAGCAGAGTAAAGATAGCAGAGCTCTCTGGCCAGCACACAGTGGGACAGACAAATGTGCACGCACACACACACACAGAGGAAAATCCCATGTGACGTGTGATTAAACTCGACTCTTTTCTCATTACAGCCTATTGAAAAGTGAACATGAATCAACTGTGGACCAGAAATGTCAGCGCTGAGCAGAGGAAACAAAGAGTTGCGTGGAGTTAGAAGGGTCTCAGACAAAACCTGCTGTGTTTCTCATTAGTGTGTGTGTGTGTGTGTGTGTGCTGTACAACTGTCCTTTGTGGAAACCCAAATATATAATTTAATAAAATGTTTATTTTCAGTGTAAGAGAAACTAAAGTAGCTTTAAGTTATGAAGAGCTTGATGCAACCACATAAAGTGACTCTGCCGCTTCTTTCTGTATGTCAGTAGCACGTGTCTGTTAGCTGCATACGTTATATATTCTTGTGTTTTGGCAGAACAAGCAAAACTACATTATAATTATTTTGTGGAAAAAATTTGTGAAACTACTAAAACAAAATGCAATTTACCATGTGCACATTGTGTGGACGTGTTTGGAAAGCGGCGTGCAATCCAGAAGGATTTTCCAGGAATGTCATAATTCTGTCTAATATGGGTTCATATTGTACAAACAGTGGCAGCTATAAAATATTTTATTTAATCTCCTCTGAATTGCAACCATGAACTTAAATTTTTCCCACTGATTTTAACACTAAACCCACTTAAAGCTCTCGGCAGACGTTCGGTCACGCCGAGTGAAGCCATTTTCACACGTGGACTCAGGTCAGGACGCTGGCCGAGGCTGCCCTCGCACCGAGCAGACAACAGGAAGCCGCCTTTCTCCTGACAGCCAATCACCAGTTAGTCAGCTCTACACTCACAGTAAACTCTGTTTAACCTTCAGGTGACCGAGTGGCCTCATTTATAACCCCGGCCGTGCAGTTCTGTGGGTAAAAACGCTGCCACATCTTTTTAAACCGCTTCTCCTCAAGTGTCGTTTAGAGGAATTGGCCTCGTGGTGGAGCAAAGAGTTTAACAACTACATTGAGATGTTTGTGGTGAATGAGCGCTAACAGAACGAGCGCTGTGATTTACTGCTGCGTAAGGCTTGAAGCAAATACTGGACGCCAAAAGTTAGGCCACACAGCTGTTTTCACTCTTTGTCTGCATCAAAGACAAAAAGAATCATTTCAAAACCGTTCATAGATAAATGAAACAGGTCAGGTATGATAAACAGAATTAGTGCAATACAAAATCAGTCCTGTGTAAAAACACAACAGGCTCATAAATGAGGCCGAGGCTTCAGCTTTACGTTTGCATCCTTGCAGTCTGAGAGCTTGTGTGAAAACGGCTCATTTTTATTTACACTAAAGGCTTTTGGTGTCGTTTATATGGTGGCGCTAAACGTTTCCATCTATATTTGTGGGCAAGAATCACTACAAGGCTGCTAACCTGTAACACGATAACCAAACGCGATCCGCAGCCTTTTGCAAAAAAGTTTTTCACAATAAAAGCCTTTGCTCTGTAACAGGTTTCCGTCGGGTCAGTGTCACCCTTCATCCTTGATGTTGACAGCTGCACAGACTAAGCATGGCCGACGAGTGCAAACAGCAGCGAAAACAAAGTGAGCAGTTGAAGAAAAGCTTGGTATTATTTGAGAATTTTTACAGTATCACAATTTCAGTTAAATAAAAGTCAGAACTTCTAACTCCAAACTCTCCCTCTCAAAAAAAAAAATAAAAAAGATGGAAAATGACCACACAGAGGGCAACCCTTCATCGACTGAATGACTGCTTCCTTACAGTAACACACTCGTAAATGTGACAATGTGATACGACTCCTTGGTACAGTGCAAAACATCACAGCAAATTGCAGTGTCAGTGGGTCCAGGACAGGAACTGAAGGACCAAAACAGTGTTTAAGCATCAATCACGAAGACAGACGAGTGTTTCAATGTAAATGTACACCACAGATATGTACTGTTAGGCACTTAAAACACCTACGAACGCCACACAAACCTAAATCCACTGCTCCGAGTCCACGCGTGCCATGGCGAGTCCGACTACCTTTCCCGGCCTCCTGAGCCTGGCTCCAGCTCTTTGGTCACATTTGCTAAGTTAGGTTAAAAACCATTTTTCACTAATGGAAAAAAAAGAATCTCGAGGTTCGACCTGTGATGGATAATTTTGCTCTGCTTCCAGAAAGTGTGACTTGAATTTTGTTAATTTCATCATGGCCTAAAAACACTAGGGGCAATTAAAAGTCTCTCCAGTATATTTCCGTCTTCGGTACAGAGATGCACTAATGAGGAAGCCCTTAAATGTCCTCGCCGCGATGACTTCTGTCTGCCACCAGTCCTCACTCTCAGCTTCACCACAGAGAGACAGTTGGTGAAGTCGGAAAATGAGAACTATAGATGATAAATAGAGAACGGTGAGAGCGTCATAAAGAAAAATAAGACAGCTTTGCGAGGCGGGCATGGGCGTGTTCGCAGTACTTCAAGGAATTATCTAAGCCAAAGGTTGTGGGACTGGAGCCCAACGGGGAGCAGGTTACAGGGTGAAAGGAAGGTTTTTACTCTGCATCAAAACAGGAAACTTCCCTGATAACATGACAGAGCGGACTGTACTCGACTGAGGGCAGGAGACTTTGTTTTGGAGTCTGACAAAACAGCAGAGAGAACATTTCTTTTAAATAGAGCCCCAGAGGTCCACAGATGATGTTTTCGGGTAAATGTGGTTGCTCAGTCGTAAAAATGTCCTGGTTGACAAAAAATAAAAGCTAATAACCATTTTTCCCAACCATGAATCTAGGAGTTTACAGCCCTCAGCAATCACTGAGGTGTCAAAGACGTCTAAGCTCTGCATCGACTTCAGTTTGGTTGAATAGCGAAAGGTTGATAGGCGCCAACGTTTCTGCTGTTCACTTGGTTACCAGACGACTTGATCAGACACCCACATGGGTCTCACGGCGTCCCGGATCAATGTGTTGGAGTTGGTGGTTGTACCCGCACGCTCAGGCAGCAAGTCGGACCAGCGCTGCCTCCCAGGAAGATCTGCCGAGTTAGTATCGAGGAAACATGCCCTCTGACTTTTCAGTCAAAGCTCATCTTTATTCAGACGTCTTCTATGAGTTTAACATGTTTTTGAACTCCAGGGAGGACAGCTAGTCGGGTAAAGGCCCAGTGCCACACAGGTTTGTTTATTCCGACTACATTTCCTGTGTGTTTGAAGCCTCTACACAATGATAAATCAAGTCCAACTGGGTCCTAAGTCAGCTTCAATCGGGTTCAGCGAGGGGTGTGTGTCTGTTTTGCTGCTGCACGTCTCACGTCTGTGTTTCAATATCTGAGACCTGGACAGATGCGTGCACGGTATGATCCTGGAGACAGGAATGCTGGAATGGAAAACTGAAGTCTTCTTTATGGACGTGGTGAGGAGGAATTAGGAGCATTATCATCGCCTTCAAATTTCTTAGCTGGAGTTTATCCTTTCTCTCCGTTAGCTCTGATTACAGCTGAGATTGTTTGAGTTGTTTGCAGGTGTGTATACCGGATCTGTTCTGATGTTAGCAGCAAAACACGTCTGAGGGAGTGTTGGCAGACATGAGTGTCTGGGGAAGAAGCCTTTTGTTGTGATGACCTTAAGCATGAATAGATAGAAGCAAATATGATGCGTGTATAGGACCATAAATATCAATGATATGTTTACAGGCTGTTGTGCCCCCGGATGGCCCAAAAGTTCTTTCAAATTCATATAAACTAATAATTTAACACAGATTTAAATGATGTTGATGTCCAGAGTTTGACTGCAACTCTAACAGCTAAATCGACTGAAGGTGGACCCCCGAGTTTTAGGGTTTGTGGTTGTATAGTTGCTTATCGGGCAACCGTGGCTCAGGGGGTTGGGAAGCGTATCTGTAACCGGAAGGTCGCCGGTTCGATCCCCGGGCTCTCTGTCCTGGTCGTTGTGTCCTTGGGCAAGACACTTTACCCTAAAGCCTACTGGTGTTGGCCAGTCAGTCTGCCCCAGGGCAACCGTAGCTTGCCTCCACCAGTGAGTGAATGAATAGTGGCATTGTAAAGCACTTTGGGTGCCTTGAAAAGCGCTATATAAATCCAATCCATTATTATTATAGTGACGATTTATCGATGCTGTAATGTCGAGCAGAGTCGGGGGTAAAAGTGTTTTTGGTTCAGTTTTTGACACAGTTTAAGGCCCCAAAAGTCAAAATTAGAAGAAATCACGTGATAATTCAGCAATATAATATTTAAAAGGCGTGAGGATGACGTAAATCCTCAAACCAGGACAAAGCCTCGCCGCTCTGCCGCTTAAAACACTTCAAGTTTCCCGTTTTGACATCAGAGTAATTCTTCCATGACATCTAGAAGGCGTCAGCTCGGCCTCCGCAGAAATCACTGCGAGAAAGAGGCCAAGAACAAAGGCAACGAGAGAGATGAACACAAGCATAAAAACATAAACAAATCGAGCATGAGCTACAGTACAACAAGGAACACAAAGTGGGATTATGATGCCGTGCAGCGTGTGAGGAGGGAGGGAGCGGATCCCTGCATCGTTCTTTACATCTCGTTTTCCTTAGACAGTTTCTATATAGAGGCACACAGAAGGCTTGCAAGTTACAGATTAAAAGCATTTCACGTGTTTGAGCCAAGAAGAACACGACAAAAAAAAAAATACAAAGAAAAACAAAAACCATACACAGCTCACACGAACACGTGAGGAGAGTCTCAAATGGTTCGGTCAAGTTTCCAAAGGGAAAACAGCAGTTATAATAAATAAGAGCAACTGCAGTAAGTATGTCGAAAGGGGGGGAGAAAAAACCTGGATCTAAATAATAACAATAATTAATATTAATAATAATAATAGCAATAGTATCCAGTTCTTTTCATGGTGAGTGGAGAGGGTTGTGATTGGCTCAGTACAGACAACAAGGAGAAAATCTTCCCCCACACAGCCCACGCACACGCAAACACACACCCCGACATTTAAAGTGTGTGTGAGCGACACCAAGCTGCACGGCTGCAACTCGGCTCCGGCTTTGACTCAAAGATCTGCGATTCTGCTTCACGCAGGAAGGATCAGGGACGGAGCAGACGGTGGCTTCAAACCAGCCAAAGCTGCTGGACCTCAGAATCTCATATCTATTGGAATCTATTGGACTTTGGTGCATTTGGCTACATTATCACGGTAAAGTGTAAAAGTTTGATATCTATTCGGAAGTTTCATTCACATCTTTTGTTTGGGTTTTTTTGAGGGGTCAAATTAGAAATACATTAAAAGTAAATGGACGTGTTTGAACCAGCAGTCATCGCTGAGTTTGCTGATGGGGCACCCGACCACATGGGTACAGTCACACCGAAAAGCACAACTTCACAATTTATTTAGACGCCTTTCAAATGACAGAACCTTGCTGACACTGTGGCGTCATAGTGGCCATTTCCATCTTTAATATACAGTCTATGCTTGTACTAGACTACCACACTAACTAGTTTTAAAATAAAGCTCTTTATTACATGCGTCACATTTGAACATGATGTGCAGATGCAGAGTCGCCTGTACTTTTAAAGCAACGTAAGAGTGTTGCCCTGCCTGTTGAGCTCTCACGGGGGCAGCGAGGCTGCAGAAAATCCATTAAAAAATGTTGCAGAGCACGAAAACTGCGTTTCTACTTGGATTTGGAGCCGTGCAGCTTTGTGAACATGCCCCACACACATGTCATGCACCAGCTCGCACACATTCACGCTCACAGGCAGCCAAGAGCCCAAAACGTGTAGTTGACCTCCACTGTAATCAGGGGGGAAAAGCAGTGTAAGTGCAGTACCTCTTTGTGACCACTGGGGGGAGCCCCTGAAGTCAACAATCGGACTCTCCAACTGTTCCTCACTGGCCACATGAGCCCGTTTTTACCCAGAGAGAAATTCTGTACATGCAGTCAATTAATAATCTGATGCAACACTTGCGTCGAGTATGCAAACATTTAGATTATACACAGATAGATTATATCATTCTTCTTTTTTTTATATAATCTGCACATCTTCTCGCTTCTGCTTTTCAGCAAAAAAGAAACTACGACTCGACCCTTGTGGAGGCCTCAGAGTCAGCGCGCTAACAACAGCGCTCGAGCGCAGCGGCGGGGCAAATCGAATCAAACAGGGAGGCTTTGCATACACACGTCATAAATTACTCCAGATTCTGTGTGAGGCTCCCGTCTCCCAAACTCCTCCCACCGTGCCAGGTGATGCACAGAGGGGGGGCCCGAGGCCAGGTGGGGGGGCGGGGACAGACTCCTCGTTCTGCTTCGTCAGCGGCTCCTCTGGGCTCCGTTTGTCTGCCACTGGAGGGAGGGGTGAGAGGGAGTCCTGCGGGTAAATGGGATGGTGGTGGGGGGGGGTGCGATTGGTGTTTTTTTCTTGGATTTTTTTTTTTGTTTCCCCTTTTTTAACAGATTCCTCCCCCTCCCTCCAGTGCACTCAGTCTCCCAAGATGACTTTCACAAAGCTAGCCACGTCGGTTTCTTTGGCCTCGTGGGAGGTGAAGAAGAGATGTTGCTGAGGAGGAAACGGACACGAGTTAGTCGGGAGCGAAATCAGAAAAAAGCCATTAAAGCATCAATTCCTTGAACTTTGAGGCTGTCGTGTTGTTGTGTTGCAGTTTGCATTGTAATTATGGTCATTAGAGCATTTTTTTGCACCTGTTTTCAACCTAATTTTAGTTTTTGACACTTGGTTTTACACTCATTTGTTGTCATCTCTTGTAGTGACACCTTTGTTGCCTTTTCTGGTCAATTTGTATCTGGTTGCCAAACTTTGGCGCAATATAAATTATATTGAATTGAATTTTTTTCAACTTTTCAACGGCACGATTTGCAGCTTTATGTGGACGTTTTGTATTTGTTTATAGTCGGTTCATGGATCTTAGTTGTAAACAATCCGATTGTTGCCCTTATGCACCGATTTCACATGTTTGTGCATCATTTTGCTTCTATTTTGTTGGTGACTTTGACTTTCTTCTGTTAATTTCCAGTCATTTGGGTTTTATTTTGCATCACTTGGTCATTTTAGAGCTTGTAGGAAGTCTCGGTTCGTGGTCATTTTGCACATTTAAAAAAAATGATTATTTTTGTGTCTTTTGTTGTTTGTTTGCATCCATTTCGGGGTCTCTTTGTGCTTAACTGATTAAGCTGCAGCCGTTCAAACACCTGCACCCCCTGATACTCTGAGCTTTTACTGAACCTTTAGTAAACCTTCCATGGATGAGACCAGTGAAGCATCTCGGCTTCAAGCGTCAAATACAGGGTTTGTAAATAACAATCTAAGTGCACCCCCCAGTGTCTGATTAACAGCATTACAAGGTGCTTGCAGGGAAGTCATGCTTATAATCTGCTAACACAGCAAGAACGTTAACACGGAAACACTCACCATGAGTTCTGTGTAAGTCGGCCGCTCTTTGGAAACTTTCTTTAAGCTGCAGAAGAAGAAAACAAAGCAAAGATGAACATTAAATGGTGGACTTCACCACTCTTGCCACAGATCTGTTCTAGCGTCTGATTCAGTGTTATTCTCTGAAAGCGTCTGAGAAGTCGCAGACTGCCAGTACCGAGGGTTTCAAGGTAACAGAAAAAATACAACACAGCACGGTGAGTCACCCGAGCACCAAAGAACATAGTCACATCAGTCTTTCTGCATTCTGAGTGCTGCTCAAAGTGCGGCATCATTTTCTGATATTACCAGGAAACAACGATCGAAACAGGAGGACGACTCGTTTCTCAGTGTGGTCGAGTGTTATTTCAGGTCAGCAGCCGTAGATCATGTCAGCATTTCAGATTCACCCAGATTCACAGAACACCATCAGGCAGGCGTCTGACCATCACATGTTCTCCCACAGGAAACCAGATCAACATGGACTACTCCAGCAAATAGCCGGCCCCCAAAAAGTTCAAAACAAGCCAAAAAACCCCAAAACATTACAAAGAAAAGAAAAACAATTCAATAATTTGGCTTTGCTTAAAGGCAGCATCACTTTACATTAGTGACAGGAAGAAGACGTCTGCTGGTGTTGGCAGTGCTGAGTTCAGTATTCACATCACTGCCACAATTATGCAGTTTCCACATTACAAAGGTTCTTCAGTTATTTGCATGTTAAGCATGTTGTGGGGTGGCTGGTATTTCAGCTCTATGTGGAACAACCGGTAACAGGAGATATTCTTGTCAATGTTCCAGCTGTTGTTGCATGCCATTGTAAGCCCTCAGTCTTCCAAAGCTTCCTGAAGACATTTCATTTGTCTTCCCAAACTCTTCTTCACATCATCTAAAAGTTGATCACTGAAAACTGAACAATACAAGAGTCAGCTGTTCAGGACAAAGCTCAGCGATATATTTGGACTCTCTCCTGAGCATCCAAACATTTGCATCCTGGACAGAGAAGACAGATGATTTAAGATGGCCCAACATCCACCTGAACCATCCACCCATCAGCTTTTAGGAAACCTCTCTGGTGTGAAACATCTTCAAGTACCTAAAAAACAGACCAGTTGCTTTTAACTCAAGTTTAAATAAATGTTATTGCATTTTCAGCTTGGTCGTTGCTGCAGTGCAGGTGGAGTGAAACAGTATTTAAAATATTGGCAACCACCAGTCTACCCATGAGCCTTTCTTCCTGTTAAAAGGGAGTTTTTCCTTCCCACTGTCACCAAAGGGCCTGCTCACAGGAGGTCATCTGATTGTTGGGTTTTTCTCTGTATGTATTATTGTAGGGTCGACCTTACAACATAAAGCTTGAGGAGTCTGTTGCAGTGACTTGGCGCTGTATGAATAGACCTCATTCTCAGGTCAGTGCATTCACAAGTCTTTCAGAAAACCTGGACAAAGATTGAGATCACTGAGATTCAAACGTCGAGATCTTTAGTATCTACACCTGTGGTATAATTTAGAAAATTGTGACTTCCTGCTTGAGTTATTGCATTCACAAACCTAGGTGTCCATGTCGCCTGCCCACCAGTGAAACAATACCCATCAACCTTTTCCAGCTGAAGGGTAAAAATCACCAAATCTGTCCACTTTTCATCTGTGATTTTTAATCTCTGAAGGTCTTTTGCACTTCTTCCTCATTCCTTCTTCAGCTGTGGTGGCTGTAGCTCAGGAGGAAGAGCAGATCTGCTAATCGGAACGTTGCTGGTTTGATCCCTGGCTGCTGCAGCTTGCACGCCAAACATCCTTGGGCAAGATACTAACCCCAAGTTGCTCCCCAATGCATCCATCAGATTATGAGTGTAGAAAAGCTCATTTAGCCATTTAACCAGCCGACATTATTACTTCATGAACCCTCATCACTGCATCACAGCAGCCTCTGCAAGTCCTGAACTTCCAGAGCTATGCATGAATACAACTTCTGACTGACTGGACATCATTTGCACTGGAGTACAGTGAGGTTTACACCTGCATCATCACAGCCTCCCTTTTCTTAAAGGCAAGGTTGCGATGCCCGTCTTAAATTAAGAAAATCCTTTCAGCTCACTCGGCGTCTTCTCGCTGCACAAATACCTGCATGTGTCACTAAGCAACAAAGAAAGAACAGAACCAAAAATCCCCAGGAGGAGGAAACATTCTCACGTCTAAGAAAAACACAAACACGCCATCACCTGCGTTACAGACATAAATCCAGATGAAGCGAGCGGGGATGGCTGATCATGTGACTGGTGCTAAGGTGGAGGTCAGGTTTTGGCATGTAGAAGATCTGATCTTGGAGGCACAATCACAATAATCTCGTTCTCAATGGTGCGGTTACAGTTTGGAGGAGTAACGCTACAGAAGAGGATGCACGAAACGATACGCAAACGTTTCCGCTTTTCTCTCTTTACTTTTGTTTCTACTCCATCTCTCTGTGCTCTTACTCACAACAGGGGCTTGATGAACATCTCAAACATAATTCTTTTCATTTCCAACAATTACGAAAACAATATAATCAAAAACTAGACTCAGTGTTTAGAGACTATTACAACTATTAAACATCTTAAGATATATTCATTCCAAAGTATCACGTAGCATTGCAATACTAAACAAGGCAAAACAGGTATTCGACAGAACATCACTTCATATTCTATACTGTTCACTG